GAGTAGCTGGGACTATGGCGCCCGCCACAACGCCCAGTGAATTTTTTGTTGTTATTGCAGTTTGGCTGGGTCTGGGTTCGAACCAGCCACCTTCCAACTATGGGGCCAGCGTGCCCCTACTCACTGAGCCACAGGCACTGCCCTAAATTGCCAATTTTTAACATTACTGCTCATGCTTTTAGTTTAATTGTGAATGTTCTGGATTTTTTTGGCCACTCATTATTCTTCATAGGAAAGGCTGAATGTTTCTACCATCTTCTTTTTTATTTTTAATTTCAGATTAATATGAGGGTGCATATAATTAGATTATATTGTTTAGGTTACACTGTTTGCATTTATAAAGTGAAGTCCAAGTTGTAGTTGAGTTCCTCACCTAGGAGTGTGCTACTATACCCCTACCTCATACTGTTATGTGGGAACTTACTGAACCCCATTCCTCCTTCTTGAATTTAATTCTGTTTTTCTGTCATGTGGGCCTGTAGTTGTTGATCTATTAGTTTCAACACTCTCTTTCCTTTCCTTTTTTTTAAACTCACAGGGGAAAGTTAGGTTTTTTTTTTTTCTTTCTAAAACCTCCCTATATTGAATCTGTCTGCTGTGCTTAATGGAGAACAAGTAACACTGGAAGCAGAAAGACATTTCCAGTGTATTCTGGATTACACTGTACAATCATGTTACTCTAACCACTACAGTAAGACCGAGCTATTCAGATAATTTGAACCAGTTAAAATAATTTTGGCTAGAGGTTTTGATAGCTTCAGAGGCACACCTAAGGAAAATAGAGGCCCATTTTCAATAAACAATCTGATTCTACTCAATAAATAATCTGAAAGATTATATAATGTTACCATTTATCTAGAACTGTTTTTAATTTTTAAAATTGAATCTGTATAGTCTCCCATTACTTCTGGGAACCATTTTTTCCTTCTCAAAGGATGAGAGAACCGAATATCTATCTAGTAGGATGGTTAATGTGGGGTCTTATTTATTTGTTTAGAGACAGAGTCTCACTTTGCCACTCTGAGTAGAGGGCCATAGTGTCATAGTTCACAGCAACCTCCAACTGTTGGGCTCAAGAGCCTCCTGCCTTGGTCTCCCAAGTAGATGGGACTACAGGCACTGGCCACAATGCCTGGCTATTTTTAGAGACGGGGTCTCTCTCTTGCTCAGGCTGGTCTTGAACTTCTGAGCTCAGGCAATCTTCCCAAAGAGACAGGATTACAGGTGTGAACCACTACACCTGGCCAGAGTTTTTTAGTTTTTATGAGTATCAGATGATAGAATGTGGTAATCTGAGGAATGGATTTCCTTATATGGAATGAATTAACAATTTTTTGAAGGCATGTTTTGCAAGTACTGATTATGGGCTATGACAGAATCAAGAAGTTACTTTTCTTGACTGTAAGAAGTCAGCAAAACAAAATAGAATGAACAATAACTAATGCATAGTGAGCAACAATGTTAGAATGCTGATTCAAGATGAAGGTATGTCCAGCATTACCACAGACACATGTGCTGAAAGCTCTAGTATTGTGTATGTTGAATTACACCGGGAGAAAAATCTCTGAATAAAACTTACTTGTGCTTCAATGACTTTCTCTTTAAACCAATTTTGTAGTCTTGGTGGGAAACTGACATAGCCAATTAGTTCCTCAAATATAAAAATCTATAAGCTTTGGTTTGATGTATGTTGTTCGATATTCAATATACAAAATTCAATACAATAAATACAATAGGATTGAACTATAACAGGACACTATCTACATTTTAAAATTGCTAAAATTTACTAAAAACTTAAAGTTTTACTGCTTAAGTTTGGGGAAAGAATAATGTTTCCTTCCAAGCTGAACTTTAATGCATGCTCATACCTTGAAGCAGGAGGCTCTATAAAGGAGTTGAACAACATGCCCAATGCTAGTTTTAGAGGCTTGAGGAAACCGGGGCTCCAACCTTTGCACCACAAAGAGAACCAATACTTTTCTTGACAAAGCTGAACCATCTTCTAAGGCCAGTAGAACCAGCTTTAGAGCTTCTTCCTGCATTGCTAGGAAAAGTTGGGCAAAATCAGAATTTGTCACATGCAGAAATAAGATAAATCCATTTATTAGAAAGGCAATATTTAATCATTTCTTGTAGTTATCACTCAATTAATGGGTAACACATTAAAAAATGTTGATAGATATACTTTTTTTTTTTTTTTTTTTGAGACAGAGCCTCAAGCTGTCCCCCCTGGGTAGAGTGCCATGGCATTACAGCTCACAGCAACCTCCAACTCCTGGGCTCAAGCGAGTCTCCTGCCTCCGCCTTCCAAGTAGCTGGGACCACAGGGGCCCGCCACAACGCCCGGCTATTTTTTGGTTGCAGCCGTCATTGTTGTTTGGCGGGTTCGGGCTGGGGATTCGAACCCGCCACCTTAGGTGTACGTGGCTGGCGCCTTAGCTGGTTGAGCTATAGGCACCGAGCCCGATAGATATACTTTTAAACCATTTTTAGAGGCAATTTTATATTATATGCTGTACATTTTATATAAAAAGCAGATACATGGCCAGGCACAGTGGCTCAGGCCTGTAATCCTAGTTTTTTGGCATTCTGGGAGGCCAAGGCAGGTGAATCATCTGAGTTCAGGAATTTGAGACCAGCCTGAGCATGAGGGAGACCCTGTCTCTACTAAAAGTAGAAAAATTAGCCAGGCATTGTAGCACACATCTGTAGTTCCAGCAACTTGGGAGGCTGAGGCAAGAGAACTACTCAAGTCCAAGAGTTTGAGGTTGAGAGCTATGATGATGCCCTAGCACTCTACCCAGGGCAACAGAGAGAGACTCTGTATCAAAAAAAAAAAAAAGAAAGAAAAGAAAAGAAAAAAAAAGAAAAGGCAGGGAAAAACTTTTGGCCAGGGATGGTAGTTCATGCCTATAATCCCAGTACTCTGGGAGGCCAAGGTAGTGGGATAGCTTGAGGTCAGGAATTTGGAAACCGCCTGAGCAAGAGACCCCATTTCCACTCAAAGAGAAAAAAATTAGCCTGGTATAGTGGTGTGCATCCATGGTCCCAGCTACTTGGAAGGTTGGGCAGGAGTTTGAGGTTGCAGTTAGCTATGATGATGCTACTATACTCTAGCCCAGGTGACAGAGAGGAAGGGAGGGAGGGAGGCAGGCAGGCAGGCAGGGGAGGGAGGAAGGGGAAAAAAGGAAAAACTTCTATGAAAATGAATAAACTTTTGACAATAAAAGAAAAAAATTAAGTTATCTTAAAAACTAATGGGCATGGACAATCAAGCCATGATCTTCAAGTCAAGTGAGATATGTCAGTTCTATTGATAACAATAGAATACTGCAAAGAACTAGCTTTTGTACATCACTTAGAATTCCTACAGCATATTTTTAGAATTAATAGACAAATAAATAAATATCGAATTCTAATTATATACCTGGTCCAAGAAACTGGCAGCCCCTAGCCCTGACTGCTGCCCAAAGATTGGAAGAGAGTTGTTGAGGATTCTGGTGCTGGAGAATGAGCTCTGTAACTGTTCGTTCACCTAACGAGCGAGCTGCCCTCATGGCACGAATCCGGCCTTCTTCTTCCACTAGTTGACAGTGGACCAGAGTCACAAGCTTCCTCTGCATTGGGCGACTCAGAACACTCTGAGTAGTGCTATTCAAACCCACTCCTTTAAAAGAGAGTAAAAAAGTTACTTCTAGGGTCACAGTACAATTTTACAATCTAGGAGCACTTCCTGTGATGGGCTGATTGACTTGTGGGCATGTGAACAGTTGTGGGCCTGGCTAGGATTTTTAAAACAATGAATAAAACTACCCAAGTGGAGCCAGCCTAGTTGGCGTTTTAAAAGTATACAAATGTATACATGAGTTATCCCATGTACATTTAACACTCATTAAGACATTAAATATACCATTACTCATTTCTTTTGAGACAGAATTTCAACTATGTCGTCCTCAGTAGAGTGCCACGGCCTCACAGCTCACAGCAACCTCTAACTCTTGGACTTAAGCAATTCTCTTGCCTCAGCCTCCCAAGTAGCTGGGACTACAGGCGCCCGCCACAACGCCTGGCTATTTTCCTGCTGCAGTTATTGTTGTTTAGCTGGCCCAGGCTGGGCTCAAACCTGCCAAGTTCGGAGTATGTGGCTGGCACCATAACCGCTGTGCTACAGGTGCCAAGCACCACTTCTCATTTCAATCACAAATGCTTAAAAAAAGAGCCAAACAATAATTGGTTTAAGACCCAAATCTTGAGGTCGTAACAGTTCTGGCATGTATTTCATAGTGGTTCATCTTACTTTTGCAAGTAAATAGCAAGTGCTTTCTGTGCAGTAATGGCAACTTCTATTTTCAATATACCCCCTGTTGCACACTGTATAAGCTGGACAAAAAGCAGATTATTCAGAGTTGTCAAATAACAGAAAGTCCTTCTGAACACTGGTGTAGCTCTACCACCATTCAAATAATATTTCTAACATCACAAACTCTAAATTCACTATTTTATCTGATGTGATTGTAATGATACTATTTTTCATAAAGGTTTGGTTTACAATAGACAAATGAATTTTATTAACTCACTTATAGTTTGCACTTTTTACAGTAATAGAAGCATCCTTAATAGACATTTTTTAGCATGGATAACTATATTAAATTCACCTCTAGCACTGCTGAGTGGTTTCAGGTACAATGCTAATTCTTCTACACATTTCTTGGCTTCCTCATAATGCTTTGTGTCTTCAACTCCACTACACAAAGTAATAGGTTGCTGCTCAGGGACCTAGAGGCCAAAATAAAAATCTGTCTGAGTGTTCATTAATTAATTAGACAAAAGTTTTATTGAGTATGGGTTATGGACTGATTAACACTGGCAACATCAAAACTCCCACTAAATGTACTGAATTTCTTTCAGAAGACTCTTTTTTTCCTGTAGACATATCTATTGTATTGTTTCTGTAACAACTAGAGATATAATCCATACACCACACAAATGACTTGTTTAAGGTATACAACTCAATGATTTTTAGTGTACTTTAGAACATCTTCATTACCCCCAAAAGAAATGTGGTGCTCTTTTAACATTTACCTCCCATTTCCTCCCAACCCCCCATACCTTAGGAAACAATAATCTATTTGTTATATATGGATTTTGCTGGTTTGGACATTTCATATAAACAAAATCACTTTATATAAACAAAATATAAACAGAATAATACAATATGTGGTCTTTTCTGACTTGCTTCTTTCATTTCCTGTCTTCAGGGGTCATCCAGGTTGTAGCATGGATTAATACTTTGTTTTTTGTTGTTATTGTGTTTTTGTTTTAAGACAGGGTATTGGCCCGGCACCTGTGGCTCAAGTGGCTAAGGCGCCAGCCACATACACCTAAGGTGGCGGGTTCGAATCCCCAGCCTGGGCCCGCCAAACAAC